TCTCTCTGAATGATCTCTCTCTCTGAATGATCTCTGAATGATCTCTCTCTCTCTCTGAATGATCTCTCTCTCTCTCTAGCGTGTGTGTGTGTGTCTCTCTCTCCTTCTCTCTCTCTGTCTGTCTGTCTGTCTCTCTCTCTCTCTCTCTCTCTCTCTCTCTCTCTCTCTCTCAGCATGTGTGTGTGTGTGCTGCTTCTTACATCCGGATGTTAAAACGACGATCAAAATTTTACATCCGGATGGTGATAAAACTTTTAAAACAACGTTATGATAATCTAATGGAAAGAAAGAGAAAGAGAGTGATAACATGTAAAGCAACAACATTATAAAACATCGGATTCACAAAGTGCGTTTGCTAAAAGATTTAAAAGAACAAGTGTGAGTATGATCACACTTCCGCTTCAAAGTTCCCTTGGCGCCAATTTTGTTTTTTACTTTTTTTTGTTGACACACACACACACACACACACACACACACACACACACACACACACACACAGAATGGCAGCGCGGGAGCGGGGGCGACGACGGCGGGGGGCGGGGAGGCGGAAGGGAGCAGGTCATAGGGAGGGGGAGGGGGGGAATGGATCGACAGGCATGGCATCGTTGACGGTCGCAGTACGCGTGCGGCCTCTCTTGCCCGAGGAGGCTCAGCGCGGCTGGTCCTCTTTGGTGGACTGTCTGGGCGGCAAGGTCGTCGTCCTGAATGACCCACATGCCAATTCAGAGGATGTGCTGCGCCGCAATCGCAGCCATGAGCGCCGGTTTGCATTTGATCACGTCATGGATGGACAGGCCTCCCAGAAGGACGTCTATGTTGCCGTTGGTCGACCCCTGCTCAAGGCCTTTGTCGGTATGCACGTTCACCACGTCATTCGTCGCCCTCGGGGCTTTCCCAGCCGCGTCGTGGAAGCTGGGTGCCTGCGTCTGAACGCCTCTGCTTGATCTCTGATCCTGGCTCACCCTGGCCCCTAATGCTGCTTGCTCTTTGCTCGACACCACATCTCCCTCTCTCGCTCTCTCAAATAGCTGGCTACACTTGTTGCTGCTTCGCCTACGGACCGACATCTGCTGGTAGGCAAGCTTTGGTGACACTCCAATGCGGCTTGCCACCATGTCCTTCAAACTCCGCGGTAGCTCACTCTGCTCGCGCCTAGGGAAAACCTACTCCATGCTGGGTACAGCTCAGGAACCTGGCTTGATGATGCGGACGCTCGTCGATCTCTTCAAGCTTGTCGACAAACGCAAAGACACCTACAACTTTGAGGTACTCACCTGTGCCGAGCTGACTCATGTTCATCGGAAGCAAGCCGGTTTGGCCCTCCTTTGCCCTGGCGCTTTTGATCTTCCCTTACCTTTCCTCCTCTCTTTGATGCGCCGCCCGGTCGCCCCTGCGCCGACAGGTGACCATGCAGTACGTCGAGCTTTACAATGAATCGCTCTACGATCTGCTCGTGGAAGAGTCTGAAGAGCTCGAGCTTCGGGACAATGCCGACGGCAATCCAACCATCGTTGGAGCCACTATCAAACCCATCGATAGCGCCCAACAGGTTTGTCCACGTTCTTCCAACTGGCCAGCTATACAGGGGATCACACATTCTGTCATCTTCACATCACCGCTCGGCTGTGGGTCTCAGGTGATGAAAGAGCTGGTTCGAGGCAACCAACGCCGTACGCAGGAAGCCACAGCTGCCAATGCCACGTCCTCACGCTCCCACGCAATTCTCCTCCTGAGTCTGCGCTCCTCACCCCGCGAAAAAAATACAACCCAAGTCTATCGGGTATGCCCTCACACCCATTGCAACAGGCGCATTCCCTCACTCCTTGGCATCGCTATTCTCTGTTTGCGCTTGTTGGCTTGAAACTCACGTGGCCCTTGCACAGGTCTCGACGTTCTTCATGTGCGATCTGGCAGGCTCGGAGCGCGCTGCCAACACTCAAAACACGGGTGCGTTGTCGGCATTCCTGCAAGCATTTCTGCCAAAGTGTCCAAAGACTCGGCGCTTGGCCTTCAACTCAATGCTGGATGCGGAATCGCAGGCATTCGGATGGTTGAGGGACAGCATATTAATCGATCCCTCCTGGCTCTGGGAAACTGCATCAACGCGCTCAGCAACCCAAATGCCAGAGACCGCTACACCAACTTCCGTGATTCAAAGCTTACCCGCCTCCTCAAAGAGGCCCTCAGTGGCAACTGCCGGACAGCCATGATTGCGCACGTCAGCCCTGCAGATTTCCACTTTGAAGAAAGCTACAACACTCTGAATTACGCCAACCGCGCAAAGTCCATCAAAACGTCCACCCATAAGCACCTCCAAAAGGTGCAAACTCGTGCCTCAGCTACCCTTGGCCTAGACTGGCCGTGCAAGCGGAGGCGTGCTTTGGTCACACTCACTCTGACTCCTGTTCGCTTTGCCATGATGCGACTCCGCTCTAGGTGGACGCACACATTTCTGAATACACCTCGATCATTGCCCAACTGCGAGAGCGTGTCTCTGAACTCAAGTCTCAACTTGCCGCCACTCGTGGAGATGAGGCCGCCGCTGGCACCGCTGGTGACACAGCTGGCCAGCCTGCCTCTGACGGCACACACCAACTGGTTCAGTTTCAACAAAAGTTGGATGCCCTTTTAGCGGACACGTTGGAGCAGCAGCAGCGGCTGCATGAGCTGCAGCGCGAGGTTGGTTGATTGCTGCGCGGCGAGCATCACCTGCCCTCTCTCTTTGCTGCATACGTACATCCACAGTGCGCCCTCTTTTGACGCTGAATGCCCGCGTAGTCTTTGCAAATGGTCGCAGATGCTCGCGAGCGAATGGCTCGGATTGCCGACTCGGGTTCCAAGAATGACCGATATGGAACTCTCCTCGAACAGGACTTTGCTGCGCTTGAGGAGGACGGTATGTGATGAGACGTAGAATAACCGCCCGTTTCCAGCCTCTGTAAATGCTCACCTGGCCCTGCGGTGATGCCATTCCAAGGCGATCAAGATGGTCTTCAGCAAGGAGTGGATGCCGTGGACAGCGCGCTCGAAGGGGAGACAAAAGCACTGCGAAAGGAATTGAGTACCAATGAGGTGCGGACAAACCGCTTCTCTGCTCAAAGCACGAAGGTGCTCACCATCAGCTTTTATGCCTTTTATGCCTTGGAGAGCAGGAGGAGCAACGCACCATTCAAAAAAACCTGAATATGGCAGCTGAGCAGGCCAATGCTTGGCTCATGGATGCCGAACGTGGCGCTCATGAACATGTCAAGCTCGTACGTCCGCTTTTTTTCCCAAACGGCAGCGCCGTGTTGGTTGTTTTTTCTGTTCGAGCCCACGATGCGGCGACTTGTCAAGTGCAGGCTCATCTTTGAAAATGTGGTTGATAGTTGCTTCGGAGCTTGCACGAACTGCATCGCAAGCGTGTGGGCGAAGCCGTCGATAGCCACCGGCAACACTTGCTCAAGCACACAGTGCAAGATCTCGAGGCACAAGTGGGTGGGGCCGTTTATCTTGATTGCCTCGACCTGTTGTCGGTGTGCACCTTCGTTAATGCCTGTCTGCTTTTGCTTTCAGGTCGATCGTCTGCGACAACATGCTTCTCGACAAGGCCATTTGTTGGACGAGAGGTTTGCCGCTTCTGTTCGCGCCAGTGCGGATACCATGCACCGCAACAAGTATCAGGATCTGCGCAGTGAAGCCCGTGCCTTGAATGTGTGGCACGCCGTGGTCCAGGCTGTGCCGCTAGCCTGCCTCGATCCTCTCGAGGTGAGAAGCACTGTGTGCCGCTCTGTGGATACTTGGTGTTGTGCATGTTTTGTTGTTGCCATAAGGTGACATTGGTGCTTTCGTCGCCTGGTCGCATACCTGCGTAGTTCCACTCTCCATGGTGTTAAAACTCACCCTTGATTGATGTCAGATACGGCAACAAGCACACCGGCGGCATCGTGCGGGCGGACGCAAGGCTGGCGGGGGTAGTGTCCGACGTCGGACCGGATCCAGCTTGCGACGGGAACCTACTCTCACGTCGGTTCAGCTGCAACGCAACATGGGTGGATCTCAAGGGCTTCCCAAGCTTCCTAGACCGACCATAACCTCCCCGGCGCATCCTTCGAATGTGGCGCCTGCCCGCAAAGACGGGCCAGAGGATGGCGATGAGGCGTCTCTCTGGGAGAACATTGACGCTGACGAACCTGGAGCCATTGATCTGGGCAGCACCATTACTCTCCGCCGGCGTCCAGGCCAGGCCTTTCGCCCACAGTTGGATCTCGAGAAGATCGGCAAACAATCAAGTCCTCGACGATCCAGATCCGCCTTTGATATCAACGAGAATGTGAGTCGGTCAGGGGAAGAAGACGAGGAGCATGAGGATCACCAACGGGGAGACGACAATGACGATGATAACGATACCGATAACAACGATGACGGGAATGATGATGGTGATGATGACGACGACGACGACGATGATGATGAAGCCCTGTTTGCAGCCGTTCTGGAGACATCTGACATTGACGAACCGGCCTTGGAGCAGGTGCAGAAGCTGGAAGCGCAGCCGCCATTGCCCAAAGAGCCTCACGCCGATGCTGGTACGTTTGTGCATCATGAAGATACGATCGGCGGTCGTCAAGTTTATGAGAACGGGCGCCTATCTTATTCCAACCCTTTCTTTTTCCTATCCAGGTCCCGGAGACGGTCGACGCCGTCACCGGCGGCAACGTGGACAAACAGAGGCCCCGGTTGTGGCTCACGTGGCACTGGAGACGGGTGTGGCCAACTCGATCCGCTGCGAGTCCGTGCAGCCCCACCGGGCACGAGGCGCGCATAAAGACCATGCAAGTCGGGCCATTGCACCACGAACCCGAGCAGCGATGCGGACACACGTGCCCGACCTTGCTGGTCTTAGCATACAGGCCTCCCCCTATGCACAGCCCGTGGGCCGAGCCCACAAACCGCGCTGGTGACGCCCGACCGCACCCGCGGCTTGCAGTCTTTGAAAGATTGTTTTTGAACTGGTTTTCTTGATGTCTTGCATCGTAGCCCCATATTGACTATTTTTACCCATCCTCTTCATAACGAAGGCAGCCTGTGCGTGGGACGCACCTGATAAATTGATTAGTTCATTCCACTACTGTGCTCACTACGGACAACAGAGCCGGCCTGGTTTACTATACCCCGTGCTGGATGGCCAGATCAGGCAGTACCATGCTCATCAAGGACTTGCTCATGTTTACCATCATCTCCCCGCCAAAGCCCAGTGTCAACCACAGATACCAACAAGAGGTGACATGGCTTTCGTTCTTTCACCATCATGAGTCCAATTTCAGTTTGCGTTAAACATTGCTTCTTTCATCCAGACACCAGACCAAAGTCACCGCCGTGGTGTGCACTGGAGTTGTATACAACAAACCCATAACCTAAATGGCCAGAGGTTGCTAGTATAACAAGACTTTGTTCCGCTTGTGCTCGCATCATTGTGATCAGAGCAAGACATGTTTTTGCTTGTATCATAGTTTCTCTTTGGCTATTATTGTGAATTTGAATTCGCAAAAAAAAAAAAAAAAACGAATTCGCATCATCAATACAAACAGTTTGCTTTGGGTTTTGTGTTGATTTGGCTTGTGGGCCTTTTCCGCTCCTTCTCTGTCATTTTCACTCAAGGCTGGTGAGGTGCAGCATGTTGTTGCTGGCGCGGACGCTCAACTATTCTCATTGTTGATCAACGCGAAAGCACAGCATTTTACCTCGCGGGCATTGCTATCTTGCAGCAGATGGTACAAGGGTCCACTCGAGGCCAGTCGTGCATTGCTGGGTACTGCTGACTTGAGATAGCCACTACCACCACCCGGTGCGTTCACGTTCCTAATATTTCACGCCTTCAAAGAGCATAAACGTGCTCTGAACTGACGCGTGAGTGGCGGCGAGTCGAACTGTCTGCAAATGCAAAGGGGACATCAGGGATACTTGCTCAACCAGCAGCTGCATTGACTGGCATTCCGATATCATTTTGCTCGCATCCCGCATCAATTGCCGATTTGTTCAAACCCAGTCCGCCATCTGAGTATCATATTGTTCGCAACTACGACTAGAAGATCCTCCACTATGAGCTGGCTCCTATGGGAAGCGTGCTGTTCAACAGATCCGCGGGAGGCACTTGCACTACTGCAGGAGATGCAAGAGTCACAACCGCAACGCATTCCTTCTGCCGCGCATCAACCGTTCGTATGTACGCCGGCCTTTGGGTCACACTCAGACTTGGTTGCATATGTTCAAATGTGTAATGGCCATTCATCGTGATGATCATTGTCTCATGAAATGGATGATGCTGCAACTGTCCGTGCGTTGATGGTGGTTGGTTGGTATAATAACCTACAGCGCGGTATGGCAGCCCTGCACAAGGCGTGTGAGCACGGCCTCCAAGAAGCGGTGAAGATCATGTTAAAACACGGGGCCGACGTCAATCTGGTCAGTCCCGGCTGTTGGGAAAGACTGCTCAAGGCTTCGCCTTCTGGCCTACATGCATTGCACGCGCGTTGTCTCGTCAAACGCGGTGCTCATCACACGACATCGTCGGACCTGGTGATGCTGCAATTGTGCGTCTGGGAATGCCGGTGAACTACGGACAGCCAACTTTTCGACCACACCCTGTCAGTCAGAATCCCCGCCCCTCCCCCACTACGCCGTCACCTTCCTCATTTAGAACATGAGTGGCTTATCATAATATGCTGTTGCAAAAACTATTTGGGTTGATCTATAACACAGGTAGATCAGAGACCCTTACACCTTGCCTGCTATAACGGCAAGGTGCCTCTGGTTTGGACTTTGTTGAGGAATGGCGCCGATATCCGAGCCACGGACTGGGTCAGTGCCATTCCCGCTTCTTATCTGTCGAAACAGAGTGTTTCTTCGCTTTTTTTTGGTTCTCACGTCGATTCCAGACCGATTGGTGCCGGAATACCTAACCGTCAATTCAAATGCGTTCGGTGTCGTACATTGACTCATAGCTTGGCTGGACACCTCTGCACTGGGCTTGCAGTTTTGAACACTTGGAGGTGACGAAGATACTGTTGAAGCAAGGCGCCGATGCACAAGCCAAGGGCAAAGTAAGCGTGCCTCTCCGGTTTTGGTGGCGCTTTGATGAAAATCTGCTCGTGCCGGGCATTGTGCACCTTTTGTTTATGCCGTTGAAGCAGGTTCTCTTCACCTCTTGCTTGACTGTGTCCATCTCTGTGTGCGATGCTTTTTCTCCCTTTGAACTGGCTTTCTGGTTTGGACTTTCACATCAGGGCCACCATCAAGCACGTGTATTCATCTCTTGTGTGACTTGCTTCACCCGTCGTCAGAACGGCTTGACGCCTCTTGACTTGGCGCGCAAAAATGGTTGCGGCGACAGGTTCGAGCCCATATTTGCAGCACACGGAGATGCACAACTCGCTAAACCTCGCCAGCCTCTTGCAAAGAGCTTTCGTGTGAGAAGCGGGGCGTTCTCCTCAAAGGTGCGTTGCGAACCTGTTTTCACAAAGCTCCGGCAGCATTGCTGATCTGGGAGAATCTGTCTCGCCAGCACTGCTTAATAAACGCGTTGTTGCCTTTTTCGATTTTAGACTCGAACCCATGTCACTTGGCGAGCTTGCGCACCCAGAGACGCTCAAGCCCAACCCACACTACAGCAGGTCGCATAGCCCAGCCGCTGTGGCTCATGGCTCGGCTTTTTTTCATTGCCTCCACTTTCACTCTTTTGCTCTTTTTTGACTTTATCATCTCACCCCCTCAGGATTAACCGCCTTTTCAATCGGATGGCGGCTATGGTGGTCGAATTGAAACGCAACATAACGCACTGGCGACCAGATGTTGGAATCCCACAGAATCTGCTTGCGGGCATATGTTCGATCATAAAGCTACGAGACTCGGATGCCAACCTTGGCTTTGACTCCGTGGACTTGACATTGAAGATTGTGCTGTGCATAACAGCGTCACGCGTCAAAATCAACTGTCCTGTCTTTGACTGTCTGCTCAGTGGTTGCACGCTTGACAAGACAGCGTGACTGTAGCGGGGCTCGGGCATTTGTGTACTTGCTTCGTGCTCCAAAAACCTTGCCCGTTGCGAATTGGAGTTTTGGGCTCGCAGCTTGAGATCTACCCCGCTTGCTCTCAATCAAAACTAGCGTCTCCACCGACTCCCTCTGTGCACCACAGCAACGCCATGCCTTGCGATCGTGGCTCCGGGTTGGCTCGCCCGTCGAGCTTTGGCACCAACAATGCCACAATTCAAAGCCGATCAAGCTGTCTGAGCTCTCACCTGACACACACCGGCATCAGGGACATCATGAAGGGGTCCTTCATAGCAAACCCCACACCTACAGTCAGGCAGGCAAGAACATGCCATCGCCCGGACACATCCACGTCCCCCTATGCTCACTCTCCGCGCGCGTTCACCACCACACAGCCCATAAGCAACAAAACGTCTGACATTTCCATAAGAAATGGAAAGTATGACAATGATCCTTTCGTAAAAGTATAACATTTATTACACTATAACTATTTTATAGTGTGCTTAACGTTACACTATCTGACTTTGCTGACATTTATGCGGTCAAAGATTTTTATTTTATTTTTCTGCTTGAGTGCGTGGCAGCGAGAGTGACGGCGGCGGGCAAAAGGGCAGCGCGGGTGTTACTGTTGCGGTCGCTGTCATCGGTGTTTGGTGAATGGCTTAGAGCCATTTAGGAACAAGGTCAAGTCGTGAAGTGATTGCACGGAGAAGCAACAGGATGGCTCTTTTGCCTTGGTACCAGCGGCCGGACAACAGCCTGTTGATCCTTGGCTCGAGCATCTTCTTGCTGGCTTTTGCCATCAGCTCGGTCGGACACTACCTGGCCTCGCTGGGGCTGGCGTTTGTGGCCGCCTCGTTGACGTTTCGCTTGATCCCGGCGGTGTCTGAGATGTTTATCAAAGCCGGCCTCTCTGGCATCGATCTCAACAAGCATGAAAAGCTGAAGAAGAAAGTGTACGGATTTGCCACGTCGATTGCTCCGCCAGGTTGTTTGGTCCTTTATCTCACGGTCATGCTTTGTGCACCCACGAGCAGCCCTGAAGCGATTGGCGTGGTGGCGGCTACCATCTACCTGATTGTCATTTTCCTGTACATTCCTTTCCACTTTCGCGCCTACCTCCTGGTGGAGCAGCAAGGCACCGACGGCTTTCCCCATGACAAGGTCCGATGCCACGTCTCTTATTTTTTTTTTGCTGGTGCCCGCACGGCCTGCGCAAGCATCGTATATACACTCACGGCTGTTGCTGGTTTGCTGGTTGGCACAGTTTGTTGCGTTTATCTGTGGCCTTCTTTCGATCTGCTGCATGATCTTCCTCGGCTTTGCCGACGACGTGCTCAACCTTGCTTGGCGGTATGAGCAGCAGCTTCGGCATTTGTTGCGTGCAAATTGTTTTTTTGCCTTGTGTTTACATCCACTTTGATAGCACTTGCCGCAAAGCTTCGTGTGTCATCTCATCCGCAATCTTGCCAATGTCATCCTAGTCACAAGCTGCTGCTGCCGACCCTGGCCGCCCTTCCCCTATTGATTGTTTACAAGGTTACTGGAGGCTCGACCACGGTCATTCTCCCAATTTTCGCCCGGCCCTTCCTTGGCCATACTCTAGATCTTGGTAAGCTATGTCGTTACACCCGCTTCCTGTCCCCTGTTTGCCACCTTGGGCCATGCTTGCTCGATGCTTCTTTGTGTGTGTGTGTGTGCCGTGTGTATGCCGTGTGTAGGTCGTGTGTGTCGTGTGTCTCTTGGGTGGCCTCACTATTCCCGTCGTCTGGACAGGTGTATTGTTTTACATTTACATGGGCATGCTCTCGGTCTTTTGTACAAACGCCATCAATATTTTGGCTGGAGTCAATGGGATCGAGGCAGGCCAGAGTCTCGTCATCGCGGTCTCTTTGGTGGTCAACAGCATTATCCAAATCATTGGGGTTTGTGCATTCGCTCTTTCAAAGACACCTTGCGCCACCACCCTGCCACCATCGATCGATCCAAGGACACCCGAACCAGCTGGTCAAGTCCTGATCGATGGGTCTCTGAATACTTTGCAGACGGAGTATCATGAAGGACATCAACTCGCCCTCTGCCTCTTGATGGTAAGCGAGGGTCATGTTACTCGAAAGGGGCCTTTACTTGTGGTGTCCCGCTGACATTGTCTTTGTGGAATACCAATAGCCCTTCTGTGGAGTGACGGCTGCTTTGCTGTGGCACAACTGGTATCCGAGCAATGTCTTTGTCGGGGACACCTTCTGCTACTTTGCCGGTATGCCTGAAGCGACTGGCCACGACTTCAAGTCCTCTTTTGTTGTTTTGGGCTGCTGTCTTGATCGTGCCCTCGTTCTCACGCATGCCACCAACGGCCGTGCTCATGATCCGTTACTCTAGGCATTACTTTTGCCGTGACGGGAATTCTCGGTCACTTTAGCAAGACACTTTTGCTGTTCTTGATGCCTCAAATTTTCAATTTTGTCTTCAGCGTGCCCCAACTCTTCAAGCTGATCCCATGCCCGCGTCATCGGCTGCCAAAGTCTGTGACCTCGCTTTGCAGCGGCTTATCAACGCTCTGCACGCATGTGCTCCGGTATCTCACCCTGTGCATGCCAACCTACCGGCAGGTATGATCAATCTACGGGGCTCTTGACGATGAGTTATGCTACCTTTGCCACATCAAGCTTGAGCCGGCCTGGGCGTCTGGTCCTGGATATTGTCAGGTCAGCACACAACTTGTGAACATGCTGGTGTGGGGCAGAGTCCAAGTCATACTTGATTTGGTCGATCGCCTCATGACACGTTCTGTCGGTGTTATTGTGCTAGGGTGACGGGTTTGTGCCACGTGCGGCCAAATCCCGAGCAGCCAGAGCTCACCGATGTGAGCAACTTTACCATCATCAACCTGGTGATCAAGATGGTGGGCCCAATCCATGAGGAAAAGCTGACCACTTATATTCTCATGCTCCAGGTTAGTGGTTCAATCCATCACAATCGACGGTGGTTGCCGTCTCTTCCAAGACTCACTGTTGCGTGTCACTGGTGTTTGGGAAACAATAGGTGGCATCCTCCGTCTTGGCCTTGGCCATTCGCTATCCATTTGGCAACATGTTTTTTGATCAGCCTTTGGCATAGCAGGAGCCGCCACAAATGTTTTCTACTTTTCTGCGCCGACTGACTTCCAAAACCACGTTCAAAACAATTGATAATTTTGTTGCGTCTTTTTTTTCCACGTTCTGATTATTCTCTCGCGAGCTAACAGCACCTTGAAATGTTACCACACACAAGGAAGCTGCTCGCTGAAAAGGACGCCATCACCACCTCGCGCTCAAGTAAATATGGGGGTTTATTTTCAAAATCCATCAAGACTACCACAAGCTAGCTTTGCCCGGGACGGAATTTGATCAAGGTCCAAGGCTTGTTGCAACTGCGCAAAATAATTCAATTAGAAATACCGCTTAGATATTTTTGGTCAGCGCTGCTGGCAAAAACGCCATCAAGGCCAAAATGCATGGGCGCTGAACACAAGCGAATCCACGGTCACCGGCGGATACCCGAAACAGTGTAGGCCTGGTAATCATGGAAGAGTGTGGCATGGAGGCAAGGCACGGCGGCGTGTCTCTTGGCTTGGAGGATGACGGGAGGGCGATCGAAATCTAGAGAAACAGGACTCACAGACGCTCAAGGGCTTGAAGGGAGTGGGGATGAGGCATTTGAGTTGTTGTCATCGTCCGCATCATCTGAAAAAGCTTGGTCAACAGGAGGCAAGTCGAGCACGGAAGGAATCTCAATCTGCTCCGGGATGGCGCCGTCATCGTCAGGCTGATGCCTAGTTGAGTTGGCGTGTGTGGGTCGGGATGGGTGAGTCGAGGGGGTCGATGCGTGGACGCTGTCGGCGCCAGCATCACGATTGTCGTGTGGGGGCGTTGCGCCTTTGCGTGGGGGTGTTTGCCGAGAGGGAGCTGCCGTCGATGATGAGGTAGCCGCCAAGGCAGTACCGGGCTTGCTGCCTTTGTGCGTGTCAGCGCGCGACCCGGGGTTGCGGAGCTGCTGCAGCGCATTTTGGGTCATGCGTAGCTGCAGCTCACGACGTTGCCGATAAAGCTCCTTTGGGTCCGGTTGCTTCTGATCGAGGATGACATCACTGCGCTTTTTCACGACGGCGTATTGAACTTGGACACGTGGCTGCGGCTTTTCGTGACTGCTTTTGCTATCAATGCGCGAGCTGACAGTTTTGTAGTCGGGCAAGCGGTGGGACTTGATTTTCACCTCACCTGGCATACATCGGGCACGGGGTAAGAAAAAGGGGCGAGGGTCTCACAAATACAAGGGAAAGAGGGGGGAAGAGGGGGGAAGCGAGGGGGGAAAGAGGGGAAAGAGGGGAAAGGAGGAGGCGGGCGCTCGGACCAAAAGGCAAACTTACGTCTGGGAGCGTGGAATGTGTTGCGGGCGTCGATGCGGGAGGTAACACGGGCTTGAAAGTCGAGAACCTTTTCTTCGATGGCTTGGCCGGTACCCACGTCGCCAGGCCGCCGCACGAGCGGGCGACGCTTTGATCCGGCAGCATGGGCCCGCGCGTTGGCTGCCTCTGGGCTGCTGGCCGGATTGTGCGCGAGCTGGGCTTGGCGCTCCAGCTCACGCTGTGCACGCATGTCTTCCATTTCGGCAATGGTGGGATCGCGCATGCGAAGGCGCTCCTCACGGGAAACCTGATACACCGGGACATCCCGTCGTTTGTGGCGTAACAGCTGCCGTCGCTCTTGCTCCACGCTGAAGCGTTCGCAGTCGAGATTAAAGTCTGGCCGCTCGTCCATCTCACCGAGAATCACGGACAGCTCCCAGCTCAACCTGCATCAACACCATCCACAAGCATCCAAATGGAACCTCCCCCTGTCCCCGTCCCTCAACCCAGACCTACACCGAGGCAAGAAAAGCAAGCAAGCCCGAGGAAGGGGTGACGAGCGATATCCAGAGAAGGGAGGGAAGCACCGGGCACCAGCAGCAGCAGCAGCAGGAGAGCGCAGCGCGCAGAGCAAAATGGCGCCGAAACGAGAGAGAGAGAGAGCGTGTGTGTGAATAAATTTTACAGAGAGAGACGTCAAAGCGGATAGAGACTTGAGAGAGAGAGATTGTAGGAGTGAGCGAGGATTGAGAGAGAGAAACATTGAGAGGGGGAATTTGACTGTGATACATCGAGGTATAAAGGGCGCCGAGAGAGAGATGTTGGACGAGAGAGAATATGAGAGGGTGACATTGATTGCAGTGAAATTCAAAGAGAGGGACATCGAATGAGAGAGAGTTTAAGAGAGAACGAGAGACACAACACCACAAACAAGAGAGAAGACTTGTTGTCAAGAATTGAAAGATGCAATTAACATTAGAGAGGTGTTTCAAAACTAAACGATGAAAAACCAGCACGAGTTTGAAATGTTCATATCGTGCTGTTCAATAAAAGTCTCTTACTTTCTCACCATCCGACTTAATTCTCTTATTTAGCTTTCATTTATAACTGATCATGTCGATGAGTTGACACGATCCTCTGAGAAATTGCCGATCAAAGCTATATTCTCTGCTTTTCACGCAACAGTTTTCGCTCTCTCTCTCGTGGAAAAAAAAAAAAAAAATCTCGACAGCGGCAGCGGCAGTGTATATTACGTCTCATATACCAAGGCCATGGCGAGTACGGAGCTGCGGCGGTACTTGCAGGGCCTGGCAACATGCATTGACAATCTGGATCCTCGGGCTGTGGGGCAGATGCTCTCGCTGCGGGACGTGCACGCCATGAAACTGGTGCAGGCGATGCAGTACCAGGACGTGGCCCACTTTGCGCGCTCGTACTTTGAGGGGTCGGACATCAACCTCGTGCTCGCCCACCTCAACGCCGCCCTCTACGTGAGCCAGGGCAAGACCAAGGAAGCCTTTGACGAGCAACTCCTTGCCGTGCAGGCCTGGCGCGAGCACATTCAGGCCGAGACCATCGAGTCCAACTGGTCCCTGCACCCGCTCAACACCCTCATCACAGACCTGCGCTTGCTGGCCATGGAGCTCGATGAGCAGCTCGTGGCTGCCGGAGAAAAGGCCGTCGCTCTCGAAAAGGCCATGGAGGAAATCAACGTCTGCTTTCGTCTTCTGGCTGGTGATCGCGCCACGGATCGCCGCAACTCAAAAAAGCGTGGCATGATCTTCTTGGTCAATCACCTCTTTGCCATCGCCTTCAAGCTCAACAACTTTGCTTTTTTGAAATCCCTCATTCGTCTCATGGAGCGCCAAGAGAGCTCCATCTATGCCATGTCCCACCAAGTATGTCCCTCGCCCACCACCACTGGCCCGCGTGGGCTGTGTCTGTGTACAAGCCTCTTCTAACCCCACTGAACCGGTCCGTTCCGACGCGCTCACGGTCACGCAGGTCACGTACCACTACTACATGGGTCGCCGCAGCATGTACGAGGCCAATTACATGTGCGTAACAAGCAACCAGACCCATAGCTGGTCCAGTGGGTTCAATCAAAGCTTGCCCTGCTGGGTTTTGCCTGGATTGAGTCGCTCACGCTTCAAATTTGGCGGTTACGTTTTGTAGGCAAGCCAATGAGCATTTGTCTTTTGCCGCTCAACACTGCCATCGCTCGAGTACTTCGAACAAACGCTTGATCTTGCTGCATTTGGTACTGATTGCCAAAGCTCGTCATCTGCCTTGTGCATCTCTGCACCATGCTGGCTCTTCGCCGTTGATTCCTGCAGCCTCGGTTCACTCTCATACCCGCCCCGGGCGCCCCAACCTCCCCTCTTAGATCCCAGTCAACCTGCTTTTGGGACGCCTGCCTACCAAGGACCTGTTGCAGACCTACAATCTCATGCAATTTGCTCAAATTGTGGATGCCGTCAAAACAGGCAACTTGGCCGTCTTGAACGATGTAAGTCTCTCTCGTCGCTCGTCAATCAAGCCCTGGATGTGACGGCCCTGCAGTTGCAGTTTACGCTTTCTCATTCATCGCCATGGGTAGGAACTGGACAAGTATCAAGAGTTTTTCGTTCAGTGGGGCGTCTTTTTGGTCTTGGAAAAGGTCAAGCTTCTGGCGTACCGGAATCTCTTCAAGCGCGTGTATGTGTCTCTGTCCACCACCGATGATGCGCCTCCCTACCCTCTTTTTGCATATGAACAACCGTGCATCCACTCAAAGGGGTCGATAGTCTCATCCACGACAAGCTCCGCTCGTCTCCCTCTTCTTATATCTGCCCACGTACCCTACCTGTGCACTTAGTTGGCAAATCATGAACCACACAGTCATTCCACTTTCGTCGTTTCTCACTGCCATGCAGGTGGCCAAGGTAGGGCAGCAGAAGATGCATGAACCGACTGTGCCCGGTCAGCAGCAAGGGGCCTGAAACGCCAATCGCTACTCGGGTCACTCACTCCCAATTCCCCCTGGTTTGATGCGGATGGCAGGAGCCCGATGTGGACGAGGACGAAGTCGAGGGCATTTTGGCCAACCTGATTCATCAAAAAATGATCAAAGGCTACATTGCGCATGGCCATCGCAAGCTGGTGCTCAGCAAGGAGAACCCCTTCCCAAAGCTCAAGTCGACCGCCGCTTGATTGTGTCCATGCAAGGAGACAAAGTGAGAGAGAGAGACCGTGTGTGTATGCCTGTGAAAGATAAATAGCTCCCATCGGAAGCAAGTCAGACCTTTTCCGAGCGCATGGGATCAAGCCCATCCGCCAATTGATTGCAGATTGCGGTATCAAGGCATCGAAAGTCAATTATGGGTAGAATGATGAGTTCACTAACATGTAAGTTCATGGGGAAGCGAGGGCTAGAGAAGAGGAAAAACAATACGTCTCGGACGATGGGCTTTGAGCGGGTACCACCACGCAAGCGCTACGACCAGCTGGGGACAAGGCTGGTCAGCTGGGCAAGAAGCTCCTGCGCTTGGGCAGAAGCAGAGGCAGTCGTGCTGAGGGCTTGGGTTCCCAGGAGAGCTCGGGCTCGGCGGCCACGACTCGAGTCGTGGGCTGCAGACGACGACGAGGTGACCGGGTTTGACGTATCGAGTAGTAGATCGTTGAGTCCAAAGCTGGTCCACACGGGGGCCGGTTGGATCAGCACAAAGAGGAGCTCCAGCAGAGGGCCAGGTGAGGGGCAATAAACAAGGGTTTCAACGGGCGCTGCCCGAGGCGAGGGCTCGGCTGCCCCTAACACGATGCGCATGGTCATTTGGCCCCCGTCCTCGGCGTACGGGTTGGGCATGAGCGTGTGATCGGCCAGGAGCAGTCGCCATTCGTCTGTTGCACCCGGACGGCCAAACACGCTCAAGGCTGCCACGTAGTAGTTCTACACCAGTGCACCACAGGGCATCAGCGGGGCGGCTGGTCTTGACAGATTGGTAAACGCGTGCAGAGGGAGAGGAAAGCGAGCCAGCGAGCGAAAGAGCAAGACAGCGAGGGCAAGGACAGCGAGCCGTCTGCGCGCGCGAAAGAGGTCCGACGTTTGCAAACAACAGCAAACCCACGTCTGAGCACGACCCGGAAGAGAAGCCCATCCAGATCAAGACCAACCTTGAACGTAATGGCATGAACCAGCTCAGGCTTGGTGGCGGCCACGGTCACCTGGAGCACCACCAGCCCCGTGTTGGTGTTGCTGTACACCACGCGCTGCGTCATGCTGCGAGGGAGACGGAAAGCTTAGAGAATGGTTTCAAAACTGAAGCTCACTCAAGCTTAAATCAAAGCTGGAATCAGAGATATTGGCTTGTGTGTGTGTGTGTGTGTGTGTGTGTGTGTGTGTGTGTGTGTGTGTGTGTGTGTGTGTGTGTGTGTGTGTGTGTGTGTGTGTGTGTGTGTGTGTGTGTGTGTGTGTGTGTGTGTGTGTGTGTGTGTGTGTGTGTGTGTGTGTGTGTGTGTGTGTGTGTGTGTGTGTGTGTGTGTGTGTGTGAGTGTGTGTGTGTGTGTGTGCCTCTGCCTGTGCCTGCCTGTCTGTCTGTCTGTCTGTCTGTCTGTCTGTCTGCCTGTCTGTCTCTGTCTGTCTGTCTGTGTGCAAAAACAGGCAACTTGATGCATCAAGAGGGTCGGCATGGCAAGGAAGAAGCTTGGTGTGGAGGGAGCAGGAAGCAATAAGGGAGATGGACCAAAGGGGGGGGCAGTGATTTAGCTCGATTAAGCGGTAAAGGCAATCAAAATCCTTTCGTTTGGTACTGGAACGGCGGGCGCGCTTCAGAAGCAGGCCCGAGACTCTTGGGAGGGACACAACAATGAACACTGTTGACAAAGGTGACTCGCTTGGCACGGCGAAAAGAAAAAGAAGAGAAAGCAGAATGGCCGGAGCGGCTACTTGCTGGCCACGGTGGTGCGACGGAGGCCGCTGGCCGGCCGAGAGGCGGCCGCAGAAGAGGACTTGAGGGCCGAGGCGGGGCGGGAAGGTAGTTTTTTCGGGGCGGTTGGGCGACGAGGGGCATTGCTCATGGCCGAAGGCTGGCGCGAGGCGGTGCGGGAAGTCGCCGCGGTGTTGCTCTCGCTGCCGCGACTGCGCAGGATGGGATCGAGCTGATGTGGTTCCGGGGGTTCGCTCTGTGCATAGGCTTCAACCTCGTTGGCGTGATTCAACGCAGCATCCTCATCATAAACGGGATGGTTATCAAGCCAGAGCCCCTTCCAGCTAAACCCAGAGCCCCACGTATAGGTCCCTTGGCCGTGGCGCTTGCCGTTACGCCAGCCGCCCTCGTACACGTCGTGGTTCTTGTAATGGTAGGTGCCGTGCCCGTGGGGGGCGCCGTGCTCAAATTGGCCCTCGTACAAGTCACCAGAGGCATACTTGAGCTGGCCTTGTCCGTGTCGTTGACCATTTTGGTATTCGCCGACATACTTGTGCCCATTGGCGAATTCATACGTGCCCTTGCCGTGCATCTCGTTCTCAGCCCACTCTCCCTTGTAGGCATCTCCACTCAGAAACTACGCCAGCATTCAACCGACCGACCGGTTCAAGATGAGACAACAATGTAAACAGTAGCTCGACTGTGGTGGCGGCATGGAGTCTTACCTCATGATCGGCTGGGCCATTGCGGAGAACCTGAATGATTTCGATGCCATCGTCTGGCTCTCCCTCAACGGCCGGCTCACTCTCACCCGCGGGAGTCACTGGGGCTGCCAGGGGCTCTGATTCCGCATCTGTAGGATTTTCCACCACGGCTGCCTCTCCATCTTGTTCTGCCGGCTCTGCTGTCACATGCTCACCCTCGGGGCCTTCAGCCGCTGGAGGCGCCGCCTCGGGTTCGACGACGGGAGTGGCCGCCTGTGATCGCTCCTTGTCTTTGCCAGGGCTATTCTTCGGGGTTGGCGTCGTCGCGGGAGCGTCATTGGCCGTGGATGCCTCCATTTCTACGGCAGAAGCCAAGGAAAACACCTCGGTCGAATCGCCATTTGTCTTCTTTTTCGCCGCCGCCGCCGCCGCCGCCGCCATCGCGCCGATCGAGAGAGAGAGAGAGAGAAAGAGAGAGAGAGAGATGGTTGTCAAGTTCAAGATGAGATAAAGTTAAAAACAGCTGTTATAAACACGCTGACAAGTGAGGAGCGATCAATGTCAGACGTTCTACACGTCGACAACGTGCTCCTCTAAATTTAAATGTATAACAAGTCCGAGGTAATAGGTGAGAAATTTCACAACCACAAGTGTTTCAGCATGGAGCGCCTCTGTGATGATGAATCGGCCACGATCACAATCTCTGCAATCACGTTGACATCACAAAGCACGTCAAACACAACTTTCACCCCCTCTCTACCATCCGATCACACTCCCAGCCCACTCTCTGCTTGAGATTTTTTATTTTCAACAGAAAACGGTAAAAAGCGAGAGAGAGAGAGAAGGAGGTGAAACGGCAGCGCCCCTCCGTGGCACCAACTGCCCTCTGGTGGCGGTGATGCCCTCGACTTCAATGCCAGCTGACTCTCTTTTTTTTTTCTAATTCCTTAACCTGTATGGGCTTGGTCCCTCCCGTCATCGTTCCTTCATCGTGTGGCGCCGCATGCCATGCGTTTGTTGCAATATGCGCGTGCAAATGTGCCGCGTTGGACGTGTGTGTGCGTGTGTGCGTGTGTGTGCACCTGTTACTCCCCGTGTCTTCTACATGGGGCTAGCCTGCTCCTGCACGCTGCTCGTGGCCCCGCTTTTGCTGTTTGTGGTCGAATCGTTGTAGCTTGTGGTGTTGGCGGTGGTGGTGGTGCTGGCTGTGTTTTTTTTTTTTTTTTTTTGAATGCAATTTGTGTGCCAACCGCCCCTCAAACCTGATTTGCAAGTGTGTGCGTGACTCGTTTGATCGGCTCACTTTTCATTCCCGTCTTGACTGGCTGGTTGGTGGCCCGTCAACTGTTTCAACATCTGATAGGGCTGCAAGACAGGCCGCGGCCGCCATTTGGACTTCAGGAAGGGTCGTGTGACCTTTTTTTTTTCCCCCCTTTTCCTCTACCGTCGACTGCCACGATGACCACCACCGCTCAGCCAGAGGTGGAGACCACCCAGCCCAAGGTGGTTCCTCTTCAAGAGGTGAGCAGATGCAGCAAGCAGCAGAATGTACCATCACCTTTTTCCCCCGGTGCTTGTGGCCACCCCCAGGTCGGACAATATCTCCTTAGTTTGCTTTAACTTGCGCCTGTGCTTTTGGTTTGCTCCTTGGGGCAGGATTTTGAGGAGACGCCGCTGCTGGTCGCCTTCTTGACGTATCTCAACTACAGTCTCCTCTTCGTCTTTGGCCATCTTCGTGATTTCCTCCGTAAACATGGCATTGAAAAGACCAAGACGGCCAAGGAGCTGGCCCGGATGCTTGTATGTCGTGCGCATTGCATGCATCTCGTCGTTCAACACCTTCCATCCCATGGATCTCACCATGTACCTTGGACTGACTGTGCAGCACTTTCCTCCTCTGTACCGTGACTTTGAAGCCTTTTACACTCGCAACTTGTACACCCGCATCCGCGATTGCTGGAACCTGCCCATCTGCTCCGTGCCTGGTGCCGAGTTTGATCTCGTCGAGCGTCGCACCAACGATTACGGCTGGACCTTTGAGTGAGTGTCTTCATTCCTCTTGCCCTGGCGCACATTTATTCGCGCAAGTGTCCAAATTTGCCATAGTCCTTGCGTGATGGGCTCACCTTGCCTTGATTCGGCTCCAGGCGCACGGGTGAAGTCAACCGATACATCAATCTTGGCTCGTACAACTATCTCGGCTTTGCCGAGAACACTGGTGTTTGCTCCCGTGAGAGCATCGAGGCCATCCACAAATACGGCGTCTCCTGCTGCTCCGCCCGCACTGAGTTTGGTGTGTGGCCTTCCCCTGACAACTGCTGCGTTGCCACATGGCTTCTGCTCATATTCCTCACTTCCCGCGCGTGCTAACCTACCTGCAGGCACCACGCGTCTGCATGAGGAAGTGGATGAGCTGGTGGCTCGCTTCATCGGCAAGGAAGCTGCCATGACCTGTGGCATGGGGTTTGCCACCAACTCGACCAACATTCCCATCCTCGTGGGCAAGGGTGGCCTGATCATCAGCGACGAACTCAACCACGCCTCTCTTGTCCTGGGCTCCCGCTTGACCGGTGCCAAGATCAAGGTTTTCCGTCACAACGGTGCGTCATTCTTGCCTCTTTTTTTTGTTTGTTTTTCCTGTTACTTTTGAAGCATTCTTCGTTGTGATTATCACTGCCACTCACACCACGCCGTCTTTCACCACCCCCGCTCTGTGCTCCTCTTTCAACAGACATGGAGCATCTTGAACAAATTTTGCGCCAATCCATCATTGAGGGTCAGCCTCGGACCCATCGGCCCTGGAAGAAGATTATGATTGTCGTTGAAGGTGTCTACAGGTTAGTTTGAACCAGCAGCCGTTATTTGGCAGAACCGCATCGCGCTCTCATGACCTTTGCCCTTGCTTTGTTTTTTTTTTTTTTGTTTTTTTGTTTTTTCGGTGCAGCATGGAAGGCAGTCTTGTCAACCTGCCGGCCGTGATCGCCTTGAAGAAGAAGTACAAGGCTTACCTTTACTTGGATGAGGCGCATAGCATTGGTGCACTGGGCAAGACCGGCCGTGGCGTTGTTGAGGTCAGCCCATTTGCCCTCTTTCCATTCCCAACAAAGCTCTGGCTGTTGTTTACAAACTCACTTCTGGTGCAACCATGGCTGGTCACTCATTTGTCTGGCTCGCATGGCCACTCGTTTTGCAGCACTACGGCTGTGATGTCAAGGACGTCGACATTATGATGGGTACATTCACAAAGTCCTTTGGAGCAGCCGGTGGCTACATTGCCGCGGACCGCGTCATTATCGATGCCCTGAAAAATCACTCGCACAGCCACACCTATGCCATGGCCATGGCGCCTGCCGTGGCTCAACAGGTCTTGACCTCCATGAAGGTGATCATGGGCGTCACCGGTGGCGACGATGGTCAGTTTCTCCTGACATGTCCCGCCTCAGCTGAGCCCAGAGCGCGGCCGAGTAGCATGCTCTCACTTTTGGTGACACACGGTGTGACGGGTCGCACCCTTAGGTCATCGTCGCATTCAGCAACTGGCTGACAATGCGCGTTACTTTCGCCAAGCCTGCAAGAAGCTGGGTTTCATCATTTACGGCAACGATGCCTCGCCCATTGTGCCGTTGCTCATCTTCAACCCAGGCAAGATTAGTGCGTTGAGCCGTGAAATGAGGAAGCGTGGCATCTGTATTGTTGTGGTCGGCTACCCCGCCACACCTATTGTCGAGTCGCGTGCTCGCTTCTGCCTTTCGGCGTCGCACACGCGCGAGCAGCTTGACCAAGTCCTTGCAGCCCTTGACGAGGTTCGTTGCTGGAGAAATGGCTTTGGGAGGTGGCTTGTCTTCATTCTTGTTCGCACTTCTCTTGCCCGTCTTTTTTTGTGCAGTTTTTTGTGCAGCGCGCCAGTCATCAGACCCTCACTCCCTCGGCTCGACATTTGTGTGTTTGATCACAGTTGGGTGATGTTCTGGGCCTCAAGTACTCGCGTCAGCACCTGAACGACGGTTCGATGCGCATCAAGGGCAAGAGTGGCAAAGCCAAGACCGCCTAATTGCCGTCACACTTGGGGCTCAAGCCTCCGACCGGTCGAGGCTTACCCACTAGTTGAGGAGCTTGCCTTATGTGGCCATCTCCACTTGGATTGCACCAAGAAGCCGATTTTTCACCTTGTCACTGACCCCATTTGCTCTTTACCAAGATTGCAAGGCTAAACCCTGTGAGCTGAGCACCAAAAACAAACACAATGATCTCAATGTTGTCTCGTTCCATCATGCCCCGCGTCTTG